GGTGGGCACCAGTAGCCTTCAGTGAGGACCGCTTTTCCGCCTTCATAACTGCACGACCAAGATTTCCACTAGTGGGTCTGGAAATTTTATTGCCTGAACTCATCCCCTTCAGTTTGGACCATTTCTGCCTAATTCCTGAATCCTTGGTGGTTAAAGCTCCTAATTAAGTTAATTTAGGTCAAGAGAACTGCTCATTGGCCCATGCCCCAACATGAGCTAAAGCCTCCAGAACCCCCAGAAGCCTGAGATTTCTGATGGTTTTAGATCCAAGAACTTTATTGTTCAGATTTTTCAGTCCTCTTGGCTGGCCTTTCTGGTTAATTAGAGCTCCCCTCAAGCACTCATCAAAATGTAGTTCTCTGTGTGCAGATGAGGGAAAGCACATTGCCAACATAAATGTGAGAGTCCCACACTTCTGAGCACTCACACATGTGGGGTAGGAGCATCCTAAATGGAATTCTGCTAAGCTTTGAGCAGAAGAGGACTATTTCTTACTCTGTAGCACAGGCCTCCTAAGGGGGAAAACAAAAAGGTAATCTCAGACCAACACAAGAAAGAGAAAGAGGCTGAGCTGAGTTGGGAGCCACCGTCTCAAAGTGTAGTAAGGGCCAATGAATTGTAAAAGCAAGAGAAGAATGATGGCCCCCAAGCGAGCAGAGACCCCTGTGAAGACAATTCAACCCCTCTCCCAGCCCTGCATTCCATTGTTCCATCAAGCCATTTCCCAAGAAGCCCTGCTCTTCCAGGGAAGTGCTGTTAGCTCAGGCCGCCTGAATGGTGAGGGGCAGAGCTAGCTCTGTTTGGAAAATGCCCTTCAGTCAAAGTAAGATGAAAGGCAACATCAAAATATGATATGATGGTTATTGAACAATATTTATTCAACACATATTTGTTGAGAGCCTAGTATGCACCAAGCACCGTGGAAGGCAGCAGAAAATCAAAGTGAGCCTCTCAGTCCCTGTCCTCCCAGAGCTCAGAGCAGGGGAGGAACAGATACTAACCAGATAATCACAGGGCACGGGAGATAAACTATGAGCTTTGTCTGCAAGAACATTCAGGAACCACAGGGAAGCCAACAGTGGGCAGGGCTGCATGGTCAGGGTGTGATTTCTGAGGGAAGGACTGTTGAGTGGTGATCTAAACGGGGAGTAGGACTTGGATGGGTGACAGGAGGTTGGGCGACGGGGTCATTCAGAAGCTGGAGCCCAGAGAGCAAACGGAGGCAGACAGGGTAGGGCTGTGTGAGTAGACCAGTGTGAGCCCGGGGGCCGTGCCTGTGCTCAGCTGCTTGGAGGGCAGTCACATGAGCCTGTGTGCTGACGAACTGGCAGGAGCAGAGTCAGGTGACACTCTTGCATAACCCGTGATCCCCCACCCAGCTGAACAACTGCAAAGCCAGAATGCTTCCAAAAACGGGTTTTTCTCCTCAATTTTCCAGATTTATTGGAATTTTTAAAAAAGGCATTCAATGTCTGATGAAAACATATTTTCCTGTAATTTGCAAGTCGTTTAGTGGACATGGCTAAGATTTGGGGCAATATTTTGCATGTGTTCTGTTTCCTGAATGGTTATCTCAAAAATCTAGACACCCTTGTTAGCCCAATGCCATACTGGCCCAGAGGGTTGAGACAGAGAGACTGAAGGTGACGGGTTTTAACTACTGCCTGCCAGAGACCTGGAGCACCCAGGAGGGGAGTGGATGGGAACTGTGGCCTTTTCAGCACTAATCCTAGACTCTGCAATGGCGAAGGAAACGCACGTCCAGACTCTGAGGCTCCCTGTGGGGCCAGAAACCATCTCTCCCTTAGGGTCCCCATCCACATGCAAAGAGGAGGCTAAGCCCAAGGCCACCCCTCAATGGGACTTGCCTGCCCAGCTACGCTTGGAACTGGGGGACATCCAGACAGTGAAATTAAAGGGTGCTTCTCTGAAGCCCATCTTCCATGGTGAACTTCCTGCTGGCATGGCCAAGTGAACCATCCTTTCCTCCCTCTCATGCCAGCCACGAAATCCCAGCAAAGGCTGTGTCTCCAGACGTCCACCATTAAGACAAGGAAGTAGGGGGAGGGGCCCTCTTCTGCCCTCTGGTGTCCACCCACCAACCCAGACTTGAGCAGTGTGGCTTGCGAGGCTCAGGGCTGAAGAGATGGCTGCCTCTGACTCACTGTGTGATCTTGGGTAAACTCCATCCCACTCTCTGGGCATCAGTCTCCTCAGTTTCCCCCTTTAGATAGTGAACAAGGAAGGGTAGGTCTCAGGGCAGAGGAAAATGATAGGAAGGTAGAGGGTACCACCAACGGGCACATCAGGGAGCCCTGAGAAGCTTGGGAGGCAGGAATACAAAGACATAAAATCTATTCTCTGCTACCATTTGACATTGTTTATGAAATTTTATTTTTTATTTATTTAATTTTTTTTGAGATGGAGTCTTGCTCTGTCACCCAGGCTGGAGTGCAGTGGTGCTATCTCAGTTTATTGTAACCTCCGCCTCCTGGGCTCAAGTGATTCTCCTGCCTCAGCCTCCCAAGTAGCTGGGACTACTGGCATGCACCACCACACCCGGCTAAGTCTTGTATTTTTAATAGAGACAGGGTGTCACCATGTTGGCCAGGCTGGTATCGAACTTCTGACCTCAAGTAATCCACCTGCCTCAGCCTCCCAAAGTGCTGAGATTATAGGCATGACCCACCACACCCAGCCTTATGAAATTTTAAATATGTATGCCTCTCCTCCAAAAATACATATTAATTATAGAGGGGATGGGAGTAACTTACCAATGGAGATGGCTGGAAGACAGCACCTTAGGCCAGGGATCCCAGCCAGCAGTAAGGACACATACTGCAACCATGCACCAGCTGACGGGTCTTAGGAGAGGACCCAGCCTCAATTGTGCAAGATTCTCCCAACGACGCAAAACCTGAGTATAATCACAGGAAACAGCAGACCAGCCCAAATCTAGGGACAGTCTAAAAATTAAGTGGCCTAATATTTAAATGTAGCATAGCCGTGAAAGTCAAAGACAGAGGAGCTGATCCGATTTGAAGGAGACTTAGAAATGACAATGGAACACAACACGTGATTCTGAACTGGATCCTTTGGCAACAAAAAATTACAAAGACAACTGGCAACATTTGAAAGGATTCTGATGATTAGATGATAGCAATGCATCATTTACAGATGTTGGTGGTTGGATTGCGGTTTAATAGACAGCTGTCCTTGTTTGTATGAAATACACTAAACACTCATGTCAGCAACTTCAGCACAAACGGCTAGGGAACGGGAGGTTCTTTGTGTCAAACTTGAAACTTTCTGTAATTTTGAGATTGTTTAATCATTTAAAATGTTTATGATTTTAGAATTTTCTCTTAAAATTGTGTACATCTTTTGACTCAGAAAATCCAAATCTATAGGCTTTTAGTCTACAGATATATCAATGCGTATGAACAATATTTATGTGTCATCCTATGTATGATAGGTGTCAATATTAAGAATTATCTAGAATAGTATTTATGGCAGAATCATTTAAATAGCAAAATATCAGAAATTAACTGTCCATCATAGAAGACTACTGACTAATTATGGTAACTTACCCAGTGGATACTCTGCAACCACTAAAAAGGATGAAGTGGATCAACGGGAATAGTAATTAATATTTACCAAGCACTCGCCACATGGTAGGTCTCACTTAAGCTTCAGGGATATTGATTCACAACACCCTAATTGTGTAACTCCCATTACTATTCCCATTAAGGAGAAGAGAGAAAAGAGATGGGAGAAGATCGGGTAGCAGGTCCAAGATGACACAGCTTGTGGGCCACACTCCTAGCTGGAATTGTGACTCTTGCAATTGGTTTGAGCCCACATGCTCAACCACACACGCACACACACTTACTTCAGAAAGAATACACAAAACTCCATTAATAATGATTGCTTTCAGGTCATGGATGTCGATAGTGGAAAAGGATAGAATTTGGCTTTTCATTTTATATTCCTTACATTCTTTACTATATATCATATATCACCATGTGTCAGTTGTATATTTTTTAAACCACTGGTTCAAATAAATAAGCCCTAAAGTATTAAACACTTTTTTAAAAACTTCTGCCCTTAAGAAACTTAAGTCCCCACATCAACTCTTAAGGGATTTATTAATCTTACAAGCAACATAGTCAGGTTTATGGTAAGGAGGTACAGTGATGAAAAACGTTAGCACTGGATCGTATGGGATGTGGAAATGCCGGCTTCAGTGTAAGCTTCATCCCATTCCAGGGTCCACACTCGCTAATTGCTGGTATTTGGTGAGAGCGCCTGTCCCAAGGAAGCCCAGGGACCTGAAACACCCCGATTCACCTCCAGTGTTCCCCTGGCCTCAGCAGGCAACGACATTCTTTTCTGTTCTTTTGCAGCCTTTTGAAAGCTGCTTACAAATAATCTAATGTAACATCACAACAATCCTCTAAGGTTTAGTCTCCTCTTCCGTTAAATGGTGATAGCAATATTTGTTCACCTAATAGCTTTATTTATTTTCCTATCCTGCTTTTGCAGATACAAAAACTGAATTGCAAAAGCAGTTCCTGGAGCAGAGAATGTAGGTTTTTAAATGACGTGAGAGGGAAGGGAAGGGAGAGAATGTTGGGAAGCGCACGGTCCTGGAGGATGAAGGAGGGCAATTCTCTAATGTCCGTGGGAATTCAGAAGGACAAGCTGGCCGGGCGGACTGGAGACACTCTCGCCTTGGGACTCGCTGAGTTTGCGGCGCCCCTGAGCACCCAGAGGCTGGCCCTGGAGTCCAGGAGGAGAGCGCGGCGGCGCGGAGCTCCCAGGCGTTCCCCGCAGCGCGTCCTAGGTCCTGGAACCGCCGCGCCGCGCGTCCTGGTTTCCACGCCTGCCCCATCTGCCCGCGGAGCTTGGCTTTTCTTGACAGGCAGGGCCTCGGTCTGCTCCCCGCGCGGGGCTGCCCACGGCTGCGGGGCCCTCCTGGCAGAATCCAAGCGGTGAGGGGCACGCCGTCTGCACCAGAAAGCCCTGGGCTTAGAGTCCCACTTACTAGTTGGCGTTGCCACTTACTGGTCGGTGGCTTTGGTAGGGCGCGTTTCTGAGCCTCAGTTTCCCCATCTACAAAGCCGAAGTAAATAGCGCTCTCCCTGCGGAATTAGAAATTTCGACACCGTGCTGCTCGCTCAGCAAGCGGATCCTACCCGGCCCAGGGCAGTACCGCGGCGCCGAGTCACCCGCAAAGTCGCCGCAACTCAAACGAATCGCAGCTGTGTGGTCAACCTTCCCCTCCCCGCCGCCGTCTTTCTCCCCAGACTGGCTTGGGGACGAGTATCCAGGGCTGTCCCTGGCAGGGGCGCCTCCAGCGCCGGCGCCCCAGGTGTCCGCCCCGCCCTCCGCCCTGCCGGGAGTCCGACGGGTCTGTGCTCCCGGAGCTGGGCGGGCCGCAGCCCATGTGGTTGGGGGGGGAGGCTCCGGGACCTGGCCAGCTGCCTGCCTGCCTGCCCGGGAGAGCCTGGCGCGAGCCAGCCGCCCTGCTCCCCGCGCGCTGCTTGGCGCCATCATCCAACCTTGCCCAGGCGCCCCGACCTGACGCCGCCCTGCTTCGTCGCCCTCCTTTCTCTCCCAGGTGCTGGACCAGGGACTGAGCGTCCCCCGGAGAGGGTCCGGTGAGTGCACCAGGAAGGGGGAACAGCGGGGCCAGGGTGGCGCCCAGGACTGGGGGCTTAGGCTTTGGGGGGTGCGCGGTGTCCCTTGTAGCGCCACTGGTATGAAAACGCCCCCCAGCCGCCAACCTCCAGGCCCTGGTGCAGGCTGGTGAGGAGAGCGCGTTCCCAGCCACGCAGCCTTAGTCCCCGGGCTTCACCTGGATTCTTTGAGCAGTCTGGTCTGGCTGCGGGGACGGGTGGGAATGGGGTGGCGGGGAAACCCCATCTTGGGCAAAACGGTTGGTTTAATCAGAAGCTCCACAGCCTTCACTGCGGGTCTGCCATGCAGGCTGGGCCAAGGCAGCTGACGCCATGGATACTCGGGCTGGCCCCAGCGGGGAAAGGCGTCCTCCCCGCCCAGGAGCTGGTCTTGGGGTGAGGAAAAGGCCATATGATCTTGGCATGGGAGGAGGCACCCGGCTTCCTCTTGGCGTCTAAAAGCCTGTTTCGTTGGAATCAGCTTTTGTTTGCGGACAGTCTCCGTGGGCCCACCAGGCAGATGTGGGAAGGGTCTCTGAGCTGTGCGCACCTGTGGGCTTCATCCCCACTGGCCCGAAGTCCCCACAGGAACAGAATCTCACTTCTAAATCCGCAAAGATTCCACGGGCTTATACACTGCGTCCTACTGACACTAACTGGCACTGAAAACTCCACCTCACTTGGGTTGGGGCCTTTACAGGTCCTTTTTTAGTAGATGGTGTGATTGGTATCTTGTTCACATATTTCCTTCTGAGGGAGTGATGACAGTTGAGAGGAGAGCAAGGCCCCCAATAGGTGCACAGGACAGCATTGCTGGTGGCTGTGAAGTCTCAGGAAAGGCTCCTGGACATGCAGACCACGCTGCTGAGCAGTGACATTGGCACCTCGGGTTCAGCTGGCCTGCATCTGTGCTAAGAAACCCATCCCTCCACCTGCTCATTGGTGGGACTCAGCTGACCTCACCAAGGCCTCAGTGTTCCTGAGCCCAGCCCCCTCCCTGCCCAGGTGCTTAGTATCTAAGCAGCAGTCACTGTGCCCCCGGCCCTCACTCAGACCCAGAGAACAGCAGCAGGTGCCTCACAGGACTGGGACTGATTGAAGACACATTTAGAGAACATGCGATGGTGCCAAGATCAGACACGGGGAGGTAGTGGGTCTTGCTGAGTATGGCATGAGTGACTCGGAAAAATTAAAACCAGCTGAATGTGTGCCCAGTGGAGGATGGGGGTGGGCTAGTGGGAACCCTGTGGGCTAATGGGAAAAGTGAATTTGGTGCCTTTCAATGGCTCAAGTGAAACCCAGTCTCAGTAGTTGGGGCAGCCTTCTAGGGCCAACTGTCTTGTTCTTTTCAGAAGCAACCTCTGGAGGAACAGCTTTCCCCACTCCTCCTCCCCACTGCCCCCATGCCATCACTCCTCTTAATTTCAACATCCTGGCATCATCCAGGGCTGGAGAGGGCCAGAGAGGTCCTGGAGCTCAGCCATTGTTCATGGAACAGATGGGGAAACTAAGATGCTGAGAGGAGGGGCAGCTGTCCCAGGAGGCTGGGCGGCTGTGCCTGAACTGGAATGGAACCCAGCTCTCACCTCTCAGCCCCATCCTCCTTCTCAGCCTCACCTGGGACCCATCCTTGCTGTAGAGACTAGCACTGAGGCTTTAGGTGCAAATGCAAAACTCACGTCCATTTATAAATGAGGTTTACCAACAACTCCCCAGAGAGCTGGGAGAACAGAGGGATGGCAGATTGGTGAGCAGGTGGTTAAGGGGCAGAACTCTCTCCCAGTGCTGTTGCTGCTGGAGCCACTCCCGAGCCTTGTGGCTACAGCACAGATGTGCCTGGTTTACCTGTAGGGAAGGGAGTGGCCCTTCTGGCTGGAAATGTGCCCATTTAGCCACTGATAAGGGCTAGGGGTCAGTGCCTACTGACAGGTATCAGGTCCTGCCTATGGAAATAACCACACAGGCCAACCTCGACGGCAGCATTTGGGAAACAGCCACTAAGGATTAAGACAGAAGGACCGCAGTTGTCATCTCTGCCACCACCCCCCTTATCAGCAAGAATAGCACCATACGACACACCTCGGCTCTGAGTCAGAGAGCATTCCTGCTGTTGTTAGCTTGCCAGTTTCTGTTTACCCAGGCGAGTGACCACCCACAATCACCATTGTTCCAAGGCTCCCGAAGCAGCCAGCCCAGGAGCTAGTTAAGCCAAGTCTTCATCCAGGAGGAACGCCACCCCACCCTGATTTCCCTTCAATTTGGCCAAAACATGAATTCAACTCTTTAATGGATAAAGATGATACACCACTGGAATTCAGCAGTCTGGGCCAGGGATGCCCGTCTTACAAAATCAGCTCCTCTCTCCCCTCCCTGTCTGTTAACCCCTTTGTCCCCTCCCACTGCCCCACTATGGCTATTAAACCATTGGGGAAGGTGGACTGTCTCTAATGTTTAAAATATGATTGAATCTGAGCAGTGGAACAGATGCTAAGTGGAAGTGTTTTGTTCAGGAACCTCGTGAGTAGGTGTTATCTACACAGAAGTGGAACAAGAGGCAGATAGAGCAGGGTGGCATCTGCCCTCCCCCAGCACATGCACTCTGGGAGCCCCCCCACCCCACCCAGCCAGGGCAGGCGCAGAGCAGCCCTGCACCCCTCATGGGCCTAGCACATTCTCTGCCCCCACCTTCCTGAGCCCGTGGAAGTCGAGGCTGCAGTGAGCCGTGATTGCACTACTGCACTCCAGCCTGAGTGACAGAGTGGGACCTTATCTCAAAAAAAAAAAGAAAAAAAAGAAAAAGAAAAAAAGAAACAAAACCAAGATTTGAAAGGGGGCAAAATGGAGAAGAAACAGATATCCAGGCAGCCTCTAGGACATCGGTTCTGATGTGCTGTGACCTTTTTATCCATCCATTTACTGGTCACAGACTATGGTCTAAAAAGGTAAAGCTTGCAAGATTGACAAAAGCAGATTTTTCCTTTTGTTTTGCTTTTCTTCCTCATACATCATGATTTAAGTTTATCAAACTGAAGCCTAGAATTTTGGCTTCTACTTGAGGAGGAGAGAGGGAATGATACTGCTTCAGCTGATGGTCACACTGTCCATCCGTTCTGAAAATAGAACATCAATGAATGCTCTTAGCATCCCAGTTTTTCAGAACTCCTGAAAAATAAAAATGAATGAACTTCAGTCATGCAGAGTCATATATCACATAATAACTTTATGTTCCAATTCTTTAGAAACCAGAAAGTGTGTGCTCTATGGGAGCATCAAAAATTAATTCTGTAGTAAGGGTTTCCTGACCAGACCTAAATCCAACTGTAAAAGAGCAGGGTTTGTTTGTCCCAAGGCACTGGGGCAATCTCTTCCTGTCGCAAACACTCATCTTTATGTTTAAGGGTGGAAATGCTGAGGAATGGTTGCAAAAAATTCAACAAATTATCCTTCTCCATTTCTATGGCATAAGCCAGGGACTACTTTGGTTGACTTCCATGAGAGCTCTGTGGACATTTTCATTTTAAATGGTATCTGCCCAGAAAATGTCACTTTTCATAATTAATCTCTTGTGCAACAAAATTGAAGTACATCTCCAGCACAAGGGGAGTTTTGTTAGTATTTTTATGATAAACATATGGTCAGCAGCACTGATAAGAGATGCTTTTCAGAATTCAGAAGCAAAATTGAGTCTTTTTGATGGTTTTAAGACTTCCCCCTGAAAGCACACAGGTTGGACCCCTTCTCTGATGTTCTTAAGAAAATAGGTTCAAGTCCTCAAAACTTGTTAAAATTACATGGTAATTTTTAAACTTTCAGTTACTCACAACAGAACTCCTAGTCACACAAACAAAATGTTCCCCAAAGCCTCAGTGACCAGAGCAAAGCTGGTCTGTCTGTAGCTGCAGCATCCGAGGGCTGAGGGCTTCCCTGTCAAAGCCTGCTGCATACGAGGGAGCTGCAAGCACTGAAAAGCACCTGCCGTGTGCTGGGAACAGACAGAAGTACTATTCTGGTGGAACTTAACAATAACTAATGGGACATCACCAACTGTTAAGGGGTATAAAGAAACATTAAAGAGATGGGGACAGGTGAAGGAGTAGAAACCAGAGGATGGTCAGGGAAATCCTCTGTGGGGAGTGTGCACAGTTTTGCAGTGTCCAGTGTGCATGCATTGGTGGTGAGGTTCTCCCTGGTACAATTGTGCTCCAATTTCATACCCAGCAGTAATGTCCATCAGCATGAGCTGTGAGGTCTGTATGTTATTGCCATATGAAAAACCAGCAAGAGGATCTGTCATTCTCTACTCAGCCACCACCACTGCATCACTACCCTGCCTCACACCCATTACCCACCCAACAGGATGTAAAGGCCAAGGTCTTCTTTTACTCACCCACCACCCAAGTGAATGAGTCTCCCCTAGAGCTTTGCTACTCAGAGGGGTCTGGAGAGCAGCATGGGCCAACTCTAACATGCACCTGAGCTGCCTGGGGTTCTTGTTAAAAGGCAAATTCTGAATGAGTAGGTCTGGAGTGGGGCCTGAGAGTCTGCCCTTTTAACAAATTCCCAGGGGATGCTTCTGGTCCACAAGCCACATTTTGAGTAGCAAGCAAGATTCTAAGGTTCCACTTATCTTGGCTTTTGACAGAGGATTTTTCTTCCTCTGTCCTTTGGACATTGATTGGGATCAGGTCTGATGAACTTCAAAAAGGGCATAAGATCATCTGAAGTTTGACTTCTTGGTCATCAGGTTACCTGCAAACACAGCATGGCACAGTGCATTGGGTGGGGCTGCTGCTCTGCTGAGCAGCTGAGTCACACCAGACTCTTGGCCAGGCACTGTGGCTCCCACCTGGAATCCCAGCTTTTTGAGAGGCTGAGACAGAAGGATTGCTTGAGCCCAGGGGTTCAAGACCAGCCTGGGACACACAATGAGAACTCGTCTCTAAAAATTTTTTTTTAAGTAAAAAAAAAAAAAAATTCAACTAGATTTGCTGAGGGTGAAGCCTGGCCACCAGTAGTGTTAGATGATTCTAATACACACCAGGCTTGAGAATCCCTGCTGGGTAGCCCCATAGCTGACCTCTCTTGAGTAAATAAAGCTCAGCACCTGCTGTTCATCCTGCCCAGACGTCTTGTTCTCCCAAGTTGCACCACTTTTGCCTCCCCATGGAAATTATGTGGATATTTCCAGCACAAGCACATCCCCCTCACAGGCATCAGGCTCATATGACCTCCCACTGGAGCCACACCTCCCCCAGCGTGGCAAACCTAAACAGCTCCGCACACCCAGAGGTTGGTAAAATCTTCCAGGTGCTGTGTAGTCTCCCAGCTTTTCCACCTAGTGGGTCAGTCATCCAGACATCCCTCTCCACATGGAGCCTGCACCATCGTTCTAGGAGATCTGGGAGATTCACAGAAGATTCTGAGCTGACTATGACTTTGCTGTGACATTTCCTCTTTTCTGTGCTATTCCCTCTCCCAAGAAACTTAAAGTGAGAAGCCTCAGGGATGGAGCATTTCTCTCCTGGGGTTTCCCATTGCAAAGCTCAACCCTAGGTTGGGGAGAGAATCCCTGCCCCTAGATGAGGAGATCACTGATATTTATCCCACAATGGAAAGAGAATGAGGGACCCGTGCTGAGTTTGTTCAGGAGAGTGGGAAGTAGATCCCTTTTAAAATCCGAATGTGGGAATTTTGCATAGATTCACTTAAATTCATTACACTACACAAGTTTCCAGACAAGCATTTGCCTGTTTAGAAATCCACTTAACCCAAGTAGAGACAGATGTCCTGAGAAATCGGTGGCATTCTGTGGTGTCTCTTACTTTGTGACTTGGTTGACGTCGGTAGGCTTCCAGGACTGACCACTTGTGATCCTGTGACGTTCCAGGTGTGACCCCGACAAGAAGCAGAAATGGGGAAGAAACTGGATCTTTCCAAGCTTACTGATGAAGAGGCCCAGCATGTCTTGGAAGTTGTTCAACGAGACTTTGACCTCCGAAGGAAAGAAGAGGAAAGACTAGAGTGAGTGTGCCATGCTAAGCCCACAGAGCCCGGGTTCCCTGATATCCCCCCCAGGGCCATCATCTGAGTGCTCTCTGGGTGGGTAGACAGCCACATGCAGGGTGAAGACTGGTGGACAGAAAGCCGGGTCTGGGACAGGGTTCTTCTTTCTGGCCTTGGTTTTCTCAATGAGGGGATCTGACTTGCCAAATGGACATTCAGTTGTTCTCTGAATAGTTTTATTTCAACTTGACCCAGTTTCCATGGTGATGTCTCCTAAGCTAGGTCATGCTTAGCCACATCTTTGAAGAACGTAGCAAAAGGTGATACATGGGGAAAGTCTCCACTCAGTTCTGAAACACCCAGATGTTGGAATCAAGACTTTAGGACAGAGACCACCCTTCCACCTTTCCTTTCATCAGTGCCAGGCAGCATCCCATCCTCACCATGGCTGACCCCAGCACCGTTTTGTACCACTCTGCCCAGTGACTGGGCTAAAACCCAGTTGTCCTTGTTCATTCCTCCCTCCACTGCACACCTTCCTCCCCCATCTATCATCTGGGCCCCCTTATCCTTTCTTCATGTCTTTAGTGGATTGGGTCAGCCTGTGAGAAGGAGGCATATGAGGAAAGTAGCCAAGCAAAAGCTGAGAGGATGCTCCGGGTGGAGGATGGAGGGCAGAGGGCAGAGGACCCCTCTGAAAACAGCAGGAGAGAGCCTGGCATGCCCCAGGGAGAACACAGGCTGGCGAGGCTGGAGTGGAGTGAATGAGGGGGCCAGGAAGAGAGTCGGTTGGAGACGTAACGGATGGGGGACATGGGATTTGGTGCAGGTCACGGGGGTCCTATAGAGCTTTACAGGGCCTCAGCCTTTCTCTGAGTCACCACAGGCCTTTGAGCAGAGCAACAGCAAGTCCTGGTTTGTGTTTCATGGTGGTGGGCTCTGTGACGTGGCCAGATGTACTTTACAGGCAGGGCCAGCAAGCTTGTCGAGAGATCAGATGTGGGGTATCCAGGGTGGGATGGATCAAGGGCAACTTTAAGGCTGTGGCCTGAGCAACTTGAAGGACAGAGATGAGGTCAGCTCTGCTGGAGAGGGCACAGATGGAGAAGTTTGGGGGAAATGTTTCAGGCATGTTGAAGTGACATCACGCAGCTGTGTCCAACGGACATTGGACACACACTAGCCCAGAGCTCAGAGGAGTTGCTTCATAACGGTGAAGTTTCATATGGTGAAACCAGATCAATGGTATTTGTATTCGTTTCTAGGGCTGCTGTATACGGGACTTGTACCCTACAGCTTTAGCACAGATTCTGCAGGTCAGAGGTCCTAAAGTCAAGGTGTCCTCAGAGCTACATTCCAGCTGGAGGCTCGAGGGAGGACCCATCTCTTGGCCTTTTCCAGGCTCTAGAGGCTTCCTGGATTCCTTGGCTCCTGGCCCCTCCTCCACCCTCCACGTCCAAGGCCATCAGCACAGTGTCTAACAATGTCTCCCTCTCCCTCTGTCTGCCTCTCACCCTCACCCTCTCTCGCCTACGCCTCCATGGTCATGTCCCTGTGTCTGACTCTCCTGCCTTCCTCTGTCCCTGTGAGGAGAAATGTGGTTACATTTAGGGACTTCCCACATCATCCAGGACCCTCTCCCCTTCTCAGGATCCTTAATATCATTCTATCGGCAAAGTCCCTTTTGCTACGTGAGGTGACATTTTCACAGGTTACTAGGACTAGGACATGAATGTCTTGGAGTGGCAGTATTGTTCAGCTGACCCCAACATTTAAAGCTTCAGGGCTGCAGGAGACCACACTGGAAGAGAATTTGGATAGAGACCAGCCCCGGGGGACTTCAGCTCCAGCATATTGAGGAGACAAAGCACTAAGAAAGGAGACAGAAGGAGCTGCAGATGTGGGGGGCTTTGGGTCCCCACACTGAACAGGGTCCATGGCAAAGCACTAGGTGAAGCAAGAGCAATTCGGCCCCACATGGAGCAGGGGCACCCGTGTTGGTGGAGAGAGGATGGGTCAGAGCCGCCCCACCGTGTGATCCCCCACTCTCCCTCGGCACTGGACCACCAATCACCCCTGGATTCCATTATAGCCCAGGTTTCACCACTGGCCTTTGGAGAGGGCACATCCTGCTGGCTCTGGTAGAGCCAGTACCAGACTGGTGCCCACAGTTGGCTGCAACCAACTTCTCAAAGCCTGAGCAGGGGCTGCTGACTGGCACACAGCTGACCCCAGGGCTGCCACCCTGTCCCCTCCACTGGCAGGAAAATGCAGTCTCATGGGCCCTGTCCTCACCCTCCTCTCTGCAGTCTCAGATCCCCCATTTCCACGTTCTGATTTCCCTCACCCTCTCTTTCCCATTCTCTCTATGTAAACGCAAATGTTCTCTCTCTGTTTAAACCAGAGCAGCAATCCCTGCCTCAGCCTTGGCATTCAGGCTGTGCCAAGGGCAGAACCCTGTTCTCATTAATAGACCCTTCTTCCCGAGCGGGTCCTTCCCAGGTGGATCCTGCCTCGTCTCCAGGGCAGCCTTGGCTATCGTCAGCCCTTATTTTAAACGGCAGCTTGTAACTTCTCATGGCCTATGTATAGATGATGCAGAGAAATGGGAAGGCAGGGGGAGCCATGTTTTCCAAGAAGCAGAGGGAGGGAGCCAGTGGAGCCTGAGGGTCCCAGGCAGGCACTGTCTTTCAGGGACTGTTGAGTGCTCAGCCCCGCTCCAGTCCAGGCTCCTCTGAAGCGGGTTTAGCAGAAACTCCCCTGCGTTTCCTGTCTGTGATTCACCCACTTCTGACAACCGTCTTTCCTTATCTCATTTTCTTCTCATAATTTCACATTGCAAAGAAGGGACACACCTCGATCACCTCTCAGGACTCTTAGGAAAGGACGTCTTTTGTAAGAACATGGGTTCTGATGACCCCACCTGGTGGGTCACTGATGGCCAGTTGGTTACAGCCAGGGTCACATGGCTCATTGTGTGCCTGAGGCCATTTGCTCAGAATGTGAGCCGGTGGTGGGGGCGTGTAATTGGCCCACTCTGCTATGTCTTCGTGGCCTACTATGTGATCAGGGGCTGGGCTTATTAGATGCCCAAATGCCTTCCTACGGGAAGGGGCCACATGAACGTAGAGTACCATGTTGAAAATGTCAGTGTGCAGAGAGGCAGTGCTGTGGAAAGCCTGTTTCAAGGTGGTGTTAGGTCAGGAATACCGAAGCCCAAATTGCATTGCTATGATGGCTCTCACTATGAGAATACATTTCAGCGGGTGATACATTTGAAAGGCAAAAAATCATGTAGATCAGTGGTACCCAACCTTTTTGGCACCAGGGACCAGTTTCATAGAAGACAATTTTTCCACAGATGGGTGGGGGGGGCAGTGGTGGGGATGGTTTTGGGATGAAACTTTTCCACCTCATTCTCATAAGGAGCACACAGATTAGATCCCTGGCAGGCACAGTTCACAATAGAAACTGTAGGCGTTCTATGAGAATCTAATGCTGCCGTTGACCTGGTGGGAGGCGGCGCTCAGGCGGGAATGCTGTCTTACCCATGGCTCACCTCCTGCCACATGGTCGGGCTCCTCACAGGCCAGGGACCCATGCTGGGCTGCAGCTGGGGGATTGGGGATCCCGATGTAAACAGTGTGGGGGCAGAGGTCGTCAAGAGGTTTTTGAGTTTCTCGTTTCATTTGCGCTTGTCTTTTGTTGACTGCCCTATTGGTTAAATATGCCACTAAAAGTAGAGCTGCCCCTACCTGGGAGACACCTTCTCACAGGTGCCACCTGAGCCCCGGGGAGTGGCAGGGCTCTGGCAGGTGGGCACATGTCCCGTGCAGGTGCCGTGAGCACTGCAGGGTTAGAACACACTCGCTGAGTGTTCTGCTCAAACCGCGTGATGTTGACGCTCAGCAAGGCCACAGTGGAAACAGGCGTGGAATAAAGGCTCTGGTTCTTGGCACCAAAATTGGTTCTGCAAGGAGCTGGCGAAATTACCAGAAATCCATGATGACACGGATGATAATTTTTACAATAACGAACCTCCTTCTTCCCCATCTCTCATCATCGTTCATCTGTGTGGCTCACCAGTATCAGCATGAACCATCATCTGCGTGCCCCTGCCACAGGGCCCCGTTCTCTGCAGCGTCTCTCTGGGTGACATCCTCCGGGACCTCATGTCTGCTCCCGACCGCTGAGTCTTAAATATCTGAATCAGCAACAGGCTGGATGAAGAAACTGGTGCTCAAGGGACCACTTAGTGTGTGGCGGTAACAAATGTAGCAATTTGGGAACCACCCAGCAGTTTCCAGTGTATCTCACACCCTGTGAGAGGGGTGCTCGTAGGCAGCCCAGCGGGGGAAACCCAAGGTCACTGATGGGAGAGAGGAGAGAATTAGCAGGGGTGGGGGAATTGTAAAACCAGGAAACGCACCTGGTCGCTGCTTGGAAAGAGCTTCACTAGCCCGACTCTGCGTCAGGTGAACACAGCATGCAGACGCAAGGCCAGTGCCCCAGAAACAAGTTTCCCAGGGGGTTGATTTGCTTAAGAGCCGATTCACTAAATGCACCAATGTAAAAGCAATCAAACCTAAGAAAATGTATGTCTTTTAACATATCTTACATTAGTGGATTGTGTCAGCTGGATTCCAGCTCAGTATTTCTCCCCAGATGTGAGCCTCAATCCACGTTGAAGGACACTGGCCAGGGTCTGGAGGTGACCTGTGCCTTTTCCCGCAGCATCAGGACATCAGGATTTCTCCTCTGTCAAAGCAGGGACAAAAGAGCTGGCCCAGATCCCTGATATACTGGAGGAAGGCGGGCATGTGACCCAGAGACCCCGAGACCAGCGTACTGTCCCCAGGCTGTGGAAGCTCCTGCCCCTCCCTCCAGGCCATGCTGTAGACATTCAGCAATGCACACCCCGACCAGGATCTCCTTGCTGGCCCTTAGGAGGGACCAGTGAGAAGGAAGGGGAAGCCAGCATGTCTTGATCCAGCCTAGGCAGGCATGGATTTGGGAAT